AAAATAAAATTTTAAAGAGATTACAAGTGACCAAATAAACCAAGAACCACATACTTGCATGGTGTTCAAAACGAAATCACTAAAATCTAGAGAACTAATCTCAGTTAACAACAAAAGCCATTAGAAGGCTCAGTTCTTTCCCACTGACTCACATACAGATTAGAGTAAGATTTACTTTACAATAAGAGCAGGCTCATTTATGTGGCAAAGTTCAGAGAAGCTTCACAGATAATTTACTACTCAAGACCACATTTACCCAGGTTGTATCAGAGTATCAGTTATATCTAGAACCAGGAAGTTAAAAAAAAAAAAAAAAAAAAAAAGGCCTGGAGGAAAAGCCAAAATAGGTGATACAAAGTCCATACAATAAAACGCATATCCTTTACTCAGAAGAGAATCCAACAAACTCTCACATAGAGATTGATTTTTTAGCCCAAACAAGCTTGTTTATCTGGCTACTAAGGCTTCTTCAGATGAAGTTTAGTAAAATACGAGAGGGAAGAAATTGCACAATAGGCAGCAATAAGGCACAATAAGCAGCAAGAAGAATATGAGGGTAAGGAAAACAAAACAACTTTAAAGAACAGATATGGGCTGGCCGGGTAATACAGGTAATACAGACATGGGCTGGCCAGGTAATATAGGCTCAGGCCTGTAATACAAAAATTAGCTGGCTTTGGTGGTGCACACCTGTAATCCCAGCTACTCTGGAGGCTGAGGCAGGAGAAACGCTTGAGCCCGGGAGGCAGAGGCTGCAGTGAGCCGAGATCGCGCCATTGCACTCCAGCCTGGGCAACAAGAGCAAAACTCCGACTCAAAAAAAAAAAAAAAGAAGCTGGGAGCGGTGGCTCACGCCTGTAATCCCAGCACTTTGGGAGGCTGAAGCGGGTGGATCACCTGAGGTCAGGAGTTCAAGACCGGCCATGGAGAAACCCAGTCTCTACTAAAAATAGAAAAAATTAGCTCGGCATCGTGGCGCATGCCTGTAATCCCAGCTACTTGAGAGGCTGAGGCAGGAGAATTGCTTGAACCTGGGAGGCGGAGATTGCAGTGAGCCGCGACTGTGCCATTGAACTCCAGCCTGGGCAACAAAAGCAAAACTCCATCTCAAAAAAAAAAAAAAAGAAAGAAAATATGCAGAATTTGGGCAAAAAATTTGTAATACAGGATTGACAATAACCATTTAGGTGCCAAATTTTTCACCTGCCAAACAAACTACTATATCAGCAACTCTTCACGTAGTGCCAATTTGGTTATCTCCAACATGAATATTTTGTCAGTAGAGGCCAGGGGTTGGCTAGGATATCCTGATTTCTGGCCTTGAATGATAAACTTAGTTTCTCTGGCACAGGTAAAATATTTCCGTAAGAGAAAGCCCAGCTGGGCACGCCTGTAATCCCAACACTTTGGGAGGCCGAGGAAGACAGAATGAGGTCAGGAGATCAAGATCATCCTGGCCAATATGGTGAAACCCCGTTTCCAGTAAAAATACAAAAAAATTAGCCAGGCATGGCAGCGCGTGCCTGTAGTCCCAGCGACTCAGGAGGTTGAGGCAGGAGAACTGCTTGAACCCAGGAGGCAGAGGCTACAGTCAGCCAAGATCGCGCCACTGCACTCCAGCCTGGGCAACAGAGCAAGACTCCGTCTCAAAAAAATAAAAATAAAAAAAGAGAATGCCCAATTATTGTACCAACCACTACACACTCATAATCATTAATAGTAGTCACACACAGAAACTTGTAATTCATTTTAATTAATTATCCACAAAGGGAGAGGATCAAAATATGAAATATCTACAAAAGTCCACTGCTCTCAAGTATCCAGTGTAAAGGGAGGGGACAGGGAATGAAATAAATTTTGGGCCTAGAGAAACTTCTGTATAATAACAAATTTTCAAAACCAGATAAATCACACTAATGTGAAAGACGACTAATTTTTCAACCACTGAACATCGACTAATTTCTTCACCTTCTCCAGCAGTCCACACCCCAGTCGAGGTTAAAAACCCACTAAGTTGACTGGGCATGGTGGTTCATGCCTATAATCCCAGCCCTTTGGGAGGCCAAGGGAAGGGGATCACCTGAGGTCAGGAGTTCAAGACCAGCCTGGCCAACATGGCAAAACCCCGTCTCTACTAAAGATACAAAAATTAGCTGGGTGTGGTGGCACACACCTGCAGTCCCAGCTACCCGGGAGGCCGAGGCAGGAAGACTCGCTTGAACCTGGTGGGGGGGGCAGGGTGGAGGCTGCAGTGAGTCAAGATCATATCACTCACTCTAGCCTGGGCGAAAGAGCTAAACTCCATCTCAAAAAAATAAAAATAAAAAATAAAATAAAATAAATCCACTAAGTTTCTAATATGTAACCTGTACAAATACTCTGGGCTTATCATAAAATTCTGTAACTAAAGCAACTAAGCAACTTGCATGTTTTGCATTACGTGATTCCAACTGTTACAAAACTGATTCAATATCAGTTATAAATATGTTTCCACAGATAAGAATTTTGTCAATATTTTTAAATTCCCACAAGATACCACCTAATGCCACAATTTAAATGTACTGCTCTAATTCATGGATTTCAAAAACTTTAATATATGCTTTTTACTTCTTACCAATGTTAATTCCTCTTTTACCCTTCCAAACATGTCAATTAGTACAATTTAAAAATCCAATCATCCTTTAATAAAACCTGTTGGAATTCACTATTGTGTCATCCTTGTGTTGCCATCTAGCCTGAAAAGAATTTCTGGAAAAAAAGTGTTTTAAAAAGTTCATGTTACTTTAAAAAATCCATTTATTTCCTTCCATCAAATTAACAAGCCCCTGTTAATATCCAGTATATCACCATATGCTCCCTCAATGGCACAAACCAGTCTTCCACAAAAGTAGAAAAGAGGTAAGGAGAAACATGTCACTGTTTCTTGTTCTATCCCGATACTTAAACCAAACTCAGTTCTTTAATAAGTAATCATTTAAAAAGCTGTACTTTTTTCTGGACTTTTCCCAAAATATGTTTGCCTCCGAAAATTATGAACCCATTTTGGCAACTAATAGGGTGAATAAACAAATGTTTTTTTAATGTTAGTCTTTTCACATAATGCAAACCCATTCACCACTAGGTTCTCTTTCCCAAAGGTTTGCCAAGTCACAAGACACACTACTGTTTACAATCCCTCCCATCTGCCCCTTGCCAATATATATCAAACACTCTAGTCACTTGGCTTAAACCATAGTTTCCCAAATAACCTTCTCAAATTCTAATTTAGACCCAAGATTCATTCATTCTGATTCATACTTTTAATGGAAAATTTTTAAATCACCTGATTTTCACTAAGTTCTGCCTTTTGATGCTGCCAAATCCTAGAGCCCTCTTGCTTTCACACCAGTGCCCCAAATGAGACAGCTATGTTATCTGTCACACATAAGTATATAGATAACTGTACTTTTAAATTCTGTACTTTTAGATATATTTTTAGTCTGAATACCGTACCCTCTTGGCTTTCAAAGACAACTACCAACATTCAATTCATTCGAGTACCAGTCTTCATTTCCTTCATTTCATTGCTATATACACCATGTTCTTTAAGGTTGGAGCCTACTGATTTCCCCCCACCCCAGACTGCAGTAGGAAAAGAAATGAAACAAAATATATTTACTAACATTCTATTTATAGATAACTATCAAACAGTTCCCATTTTTATTACAGGCTTCCTATTACATAGTATCATAAATGTCTATTGTTCAGGATGTTTGTCGGGCATCTATACTGATGGTCTCCAAAATCAAACAGATAATGCTGCGGGAGGAGGGAGGGAAGTATGATTCACCAAAAACTGCAGTGAAGAGTAATGGAATATTTTCACCAGTGGTATGTTATAACTAATAGCTTCTTTCTTTCTTTTTTTTTCTTTTTTTCTTTTTTGAGACAGTCTCACTTTGTCGCCCAGGCTGGAGAGTGTAGTGGCGCGATCTCGACTCTACAACCTCTGCCTCCCAGGTTCAAGTGATTCTCCTGCCTCGGCCTCCCCGGAAGCTGAGATTACAGGGGCCCACCACCAAGCCCCGCTAATTTTTAGTAGAGACGGGGGTTTCACCATGTTGGTCAGGCTGGTCTCGAACTCCTGACCTATAGTGTGCCCGCCTCGGCCTCCCAAAGTGCTGGGATTACAGGCATGAGCCACCGCGCCCAGCCAGCTTCTTAGACTAAGGTACTGCTAAGCAACCATCACGGTAGCAATAAATCCACCAGCTTCGAAGGCTGCAAAGCTAGGAAGATAGGAGGAAAAGCGGAGATGGGGTCCTCCCGCAGCTTCTCTAGAGGTTAGAAGAGAACAAAGTCACTGCTGCACTGTCACTTGAGGGAAAGGGGGAGGGGGCGGATCATCTTGGAAACCCAGCCCCTGGGCTGGAGCAGGCGGGGAGAAATCAGCGAGGCTGCCTGGGATTAACATTCTCGTTCTCACCCTCTTCCCCTTCTAGAAGCTCCCCTCCTCGCTCCAGCGCGGCGGTCAGAGTCCCAGATGACCACCCCCTCCAATGTATCACTCAAGGGGTGTAGAGAGAAACCAAAGAAAGAACTGAGTCAGGTGGTTGAGGCAGAGCGGGGACTCCCATGACCTCTCCGTCCTCCCTCAACACCCTCCAGCCTCCCCCAGAACACTATCAAGCCCAGAAGGGTCCGGGGCGGGGGGAAAAGCCCCACACAGGTGTGCTCGCCAGGGAGGGGCGCAAGGGCCGGGCCGCGGGCTCCACAGAGCTCCCGCAGCGCGGCCCCAGCCCGAGCCCCAGCCCCAGTCTCAGCTCCGGCCCCAGCCCCTGCCCCGGCCCCAGCCCGAGCCCCAACCGAGCAAGGCAGAGCACGCCGACCCCGGCGCCCCGCGGCCGCCCAGCCCCGACCCGAGGCCCGCCCGCCCTCCCGGCCGGGCCCTGAGTCCAGCCCGCGGGCGCGGCCTAACTGCTCGCCCCGCAGCTTGCCCCGGCGCCCGAGGGTCGCTGTACCTGGGCGGCGGCCTCCAGCTTGCCCTCGAAGGTGAAGTCCAGCAAGTCGGGCTTGAGGCAAAGGCTGTAGTTGATGGGGGAGACATCGGCAGGCAGCCGCTCGAAGGGCCTCTTCTCCGGCATCGCGGCGAGGCCCAGGCTGTGGAGGCGGCGGCGGCGGCGAGAGGAGCGGCTGAAGAGGAGAAGGAGGAGGGGAGGAGGCGGAGGGCCGAGGAAGAGCAGGCGGCGAGCGAGGGAGGGGGCGGCAGCTGCCAGCCACATCCACCGAGCGCGGGCGACCGCCGGAGGAGAGCGACCTGGGGAGCCTGGGGGGCGGGGGAGAGACCCAGCCAGAGCGCTAGGGGCTGGGTGGGAGGCGGTGCGGGCGGACTGGCGGGCGAGCTGCCTACGGGTAAGGGGGCGGAGGGGAGGGAAGGGGAGGAGGGCCCGCAAGGAGGGAGGGAGAGAGGGAGGGGGTGGCGGCGGCGGCTGCGTGCGCGGCCCCGCCGGCCGAGCGCGCCCCCGTGGAGGGCGCGCGCACGCCGGGGCAGAGGGCGGAGCGGCGAGGGCGAGGGCG